CTCACTGCCACCAGTGGAGCGAGCTTTGACTTTAATCAAGAGTGTTCTGACGAGCAGATCCATCCTTACAACATCCCAACCCCCCCCCCCCTGCCCCCGCCTTTTAAAACTCCAGCTTCAGTTTTAACTCAATTCACCCAGCTAAAGAGACGCTGACAATTAAAAAACAAAAAAAACCGATAATTTCCAGCTCCATTTTGGTGTATAAGTGTTAAAAATCCATTTGGCAGGGTCAAGATTTAGGTTGAAACGCATTCTCGATGGAGTCTAGAGTTATTCTTTTGCTTCTGCTATGTTTGTTGTCGATTCCGTCGGATCTGTCTGTTTCCGCTGGCCAATTTTCCCGCTGGGGTGGTGGGAAGAAATTGTAAGCATTTTCAGCCGTTTTCAATTTGTTGCTCTTGGAGAGTGCAGATTGATCCCTGATGTTGTTTACTGTTTTTATCAGAAAAGGGTCGGCGGTAAAGCTGGCGACGGGTGCTTCATCGGCTCCGCTTGATCTGACCCGGGTTACCCAACTCTCTTGGAAGCCCAGGTTTGTTTTCTCCTGCCTCCGTTTATGCATGTTAGTGTATATATGTTTGTATATACAAGCCTTGCCATCCACATCAGATGCCGATCCTTGTTTCTGCTGCCCCACACCCCTCCCCACCCAAAATGGTAAAAAGAGACAAGAAAAGAATAGAAGGCATAAGATTGTCCTTGCCGGCCGGTGTTCTTTTTTTTTTGGCTGAACAATGATGATAATTTTGAAATCTGCAGGGCTTTTATATATAGGGGATTCTTAACAAATGAAGAGTGTGATCATATGATCAATCTGGTTGGTCTTTATCTCCTTTTGTTCTATTGCAACTTCTTTTAACAGTCCTGTGTTGAGTATTCATCTACCCATCGAAATTTGATCTTTCTGTGCGATTTATCGTTCTTATTGGGTTCTTTTACTCGTGCATTTTGCTTTAGCTGCAAGTTTTCTGCCTAAAAGAAATGGGATCATTTATGAAATGTAAGATCCTTTAGGAAGAGAAATTGACTTCTGTTTGGTTGGCTGTGGTTTTGACTAGGCTAAGAATAAGATGGAGAAATCCATGGTGGCTGACAATGACTCTGGCAAGAGCATAGAGAGCGAAGTTCGAACAAGTTCTGGCATGTTTTCTTAAGAAGCATCAGGTTAGCAAATTCCCGTTCTTTACTAGTTATCAGTCAGCTAGATATCGTCTGTAATGACCATTTGAGTCCTTAACGTTCCCATTAGTGTGCAACAAACAGAAGGAATAAATTATCACAGTGCTTTTATCTTTCTGGTAGACTAATATCCGGAATATATTTTCTTTTGAAAGAATGTTGAGATATCGTTCTTGGTTGCTGTTTCTTGTAGAAGGAATACCTGAATATTTTGCATCTAAATAATGTTAAGAGTTTCTCAGATCTTCTTCCTGACAATTGCAACGGCTATTTTTATGTTATAGTTACTAGCCATATCTGAGGTTTGAAGCATTTCCGGAAAATCTGCCTGGAAAAAATATATATATATATATATATGCCTCTCCTATCTCCCTTGGCATTTCGTTTGATTAATCTCCAGGATTGGAAGAACCTTTGAAAAGCTCTGCAGAATTCGAAACCTGAACCATCATGATCCTTGCAATACTTTTGGGAGAGAAAAGGAAGGTGACAGGGGTTGGGCAAAGTTTTGGTTGAACTCCTGGCAAAAGGCAGAGTCCCAGCTATGTGTTTTGCTTTTCTTTGAACTTAGTGTCATTGGTGCTGACTATTGTGGTGAATAGAATATGTTTGTGAATAATTCAATGCTAACTTTATTGCATCAAAAAAGCTGAACACGATTATATTTGTGTTCGTCAAGTATGACCCGATGGTGGTTTTTCATGCAACTCTTGGCAAGCCCGTGCACATGTTTTTTGAGTAGAGGGTCTGTGCCAGGCTGGTTTCTTGAAGCAGCAAAATTTCCCCTCTCAGTAGTCAAGGGTGATACCAGGTGCTCTATGAGCCAACCAATAAACCTAAGACTTGGACCAACTATTCTGTGGCTCCACTTTACTATGCTGTGAATGCGCAGAGTCATATCTGGTTGCTTGAGCTTGTATTCCAAGTCATAATACAATATTTCACTTGTAGGTTGCCTTTGCTCTACAGTTTGTGGCAACTGATCTTGTAGATGATGGATTAGATCTGTGCTTGCCACATCTTCTTGATTGCTCTGAAGCTTCTTGCTTTGAGCATCTTTAACAATTTATTAATCTTGCTTGTGTAATTCTTTTTCCTAATTAATGGACAAACATGGAGGAATTCTATAGTCAGCCATCTATTTTTGCCTTCATTTCATTGTGTCAAAACTCTTCACTGCTGATGTTTTTGTCCTAAAGAGCATCCTGAGGTAGAAGTATCATTAGCTCTTAGCTGCATTTCGCGCTATTTCAGTTTTCTTCTTGCTTTTTGTGATAGGACTATTGAGCATTAAAGCCCAAGGTTGTGTTATAGCTGGATGCTGTCCTGATAAATTGTTTATTTTCATCCCAAAAGTCCCTACTGTTGTACCATTTTGTGTGGTGATTTTGCTGTTATGATGCAAGAAGTTGCAAGTTTGGTTGGTCTAATATATATAAGTTAATGAATGTTTAAATTGAATTTGTTGCATCTTTTAACATGTTTGTTACAGAAAATACCTTTTCCTTAACAGTTATTACTTTACTAGTGTATTAAACTAACTAGTTCATCATTGAAACTAAAGATCTAATGGAATTTTTCTCCTATTTTAAAAGGATGACATTGTTGCTGGTGTCGAGGCTAAGATTGCTTCTTGGACATTCCTTCCTGTAGGTAATTTGCTTCTTTTTTGCAATTATTTACTATTAGTTGAAAAGGAAGAAATCTCATTGTTAGTCGAATTTGTATACAGAGAATGGGGAAGCTATGCAAATACTACATTATGAGCATGGACAAAAGTATGAGCCACATTTTGATTATTTTCATGACAAGGAAAATCAGAAATTGGGTGGTCATAGAGTAGCAACCGTGCTTATGTATTTATCTGATGTTGCAAAGGTGGCGAAACAGTTTTCCCTAGTTCAGAGGTAATGAAACTGTTGGATGGTTTACCTGTTTTATCTGTTTCTCTAGTTATTTTTTGATAGCAATGTCCTTGAGTCTGTCTGTCAAACTTTTCAGAAAAAGGAAACTCAACCAAAGGGTGATGATGATTGGTCTGATTGTGCTAAAAATGGCTATGCTGGTAAGGACAATGTTAAATATCTGGAAATTATTGGTAGATTTGTTGCATCCAATTAGTATGTAGTGTGTTCTCATATCCCAAATAGCTACTTGAAAAAGGGAAAAGGGCACAGATTCTATCATATCTACATTATATTTGGTTTTCGAGTTATATATTTCAAGAATAGAGTTGTCCAATAGGTATCATGTATGCACATGTTCACATTCACGAGTATTAACATCTGAACGTCTTTCTTTGCAGTAAAACCCAGGAAGGGTGATGCACTGCTGTTTTTCAGTTTACATCCTGATGCTACGACTGACCCTTTGAGCTTGCATGGGAGCTGTCCTGTCATTGAAGGTGAGAAGTGGTCTGCTACAAAATGGATTCATGTAAGGTCTTTTGATGCGCTGTCTACTAGTGAAGATTGTGTTGATAAGGATCCAAATTGCCCTCACTGGGCTGCTTCAGGTGAATGTGAGAAGAATCCTCTATATATGGTGGGCTCTGAGGAGGCTGTTGGTTATTGTAGAAAGAGCTGTAAGATTTGCTCATCTTAGAATCTGAAGCCCAAAATCATTAGAGGTATTTATAGATCAACCCCATCCTTGGGTTGTATATAACATTCGGATATCTCCATGGATCGGATCGACCATTTGAAAAAGTAGTGTCGTTTTTGTCTTGAGTGTGGGTACTGGAGTTACTGAACAAGAAGAGCAGTCAAACTTTTCCCTTAACTGTTTCAGACTTACCCATTTGTCATATACAGAAGCATCTTCTTCTATAGTGAATTGAAATAGGTTTTTGTTGTTGCCTCCTTTTTCACTATGCTTTTGATACTTAACTGGTACTATGGCGCTTTTCTTTGTTGTGGGATGTTGCACGCCAAACTCAGTTCATCCTGTGAGGCCCGAAGTGCACAACTTTAGGAGCCTAAGGTTGTTTGAAGTGAATCTGTAGTTGTTTGGTTGATCTTTGGGTCCCCACACGCGCTTCCCTCTCTTGCTCTTCTCTTTTTTTTTTGGATTCTATTGTCACAATCTACACCTATTCTTACTCCTATTCTAATTTATACTATGGGGGATTGAATCATAATCGGATCATATGATAAGGTTTGACCTTTGACCTCACACTTCACAAGGATATGTGGTGGCCAACTACTCTAGAGGAGGGTAGTTGGTTTTTCCCTCTCTTGTTCTTGCTGTTTGGCTTTAGCACGTTTGATTTCCTAGCTGAATGAAGCACGGGAAAATGTGAAAACTCGAAAATGCGAGATTTACAAGTTCACCTTCTTCGGAGTTCAGAATCAGACGCCTGAATGATGTCAGGTTTAAACCAGTGGATGTTCTGCTACCAGAAACTAATGTGCCACCAATTGAAATGGAATAGGAACATCATTTTTAGGCTTATTGAATCATCCTATTAAACCCAGAACGAGGGTTTGTAATATGTGAGCCACGCAGATTGAGAGAGAGAGAGAGAGAGATGGAGGGAGAAGGGGAGCGTGCGTGAAGAGAGGGAGGGGGGATGTGAGCATTGTTTTTCATGTCACGTCAAACTGTTTTGATGGAGAAAATCATGCATTTGTTGTTAAATGGGGAGCCCTGTTTGCATGCATTTCATGCCCCCTTAATTGTTAAATGCTCGTCTGGAAACGTACTCTGGAAGCTGTATAATTGCATCACCATTTCATTAATTAAAGATCTTAAATCCCACCATTTCCTCTCTCTAATCTCTGGACTCGCATAGCATACACATACCTGTCTATGCCCCGATGGGAAGACCTCCCTGCTGTGATAAAGCAAATGTGAAAAGAGGCCCTTGGACGCCTGAGGAAGATGCAAAGATTCTTGCGTACGTATCTCGCCATGGTATTGGCAACTGGACTTTGGTTCCTCAGAAAGCAGGTAAATGTGCTTTCACGAACCCTTTTTTTTTTTAAATAGTCAACATTAACTGTCCATATATTTACTGTGTTTGGATGAGTTTCATTTCAAAGGGCTCAACAGATGTGGGAAGAGTTGTAGGCTCAGATGGACAAATTATCTGCGGCCTGACCTAAAGCATGACAATTTCACGCCTGAAGAAGAAGAATGCATTCTTGAACTTCACAGAACTATAGGTAGCAGGCAAGTTTCCATCTTTTTAAATTGCGAAAATGGAGAGCACGTTTGGCTGCTTCTGTTGCTAATTGTCGTGCAAAAATTTAGGCTTAGAAAACTCAATGTGAAGTAGGTCGAAATTTGTAAGAAACACAGAAAGGAATGATTTCTGCTTCTCCATATAGATAACTGCCGACATCGCTGAAGAAGGCATTAAAAAGGCGTACGAGATCTCACTTTGAAACCCAATGCTTCCGTGTTGTAGGTGGTCTTGGATAGCAAAGCAGCTGCCTGGGAGAACCGACAACGATGTGAAGAACTACTGGAACACCAAGCTGAAGAAAAAGCTCTTCAACATGGGCATAGATCCAGTAACACATAAGCCTTTCTCTCAGATTTTTACTGAGTTTGGAAAACTTGGTAATCTCCCGAGCACAATAAACCAGAATGCACTTCTTAACACTGAACCAAGAATAAAACCAGAACCCCTTTTACTTCCTCAGAAATTTCCAAATGCCAACAACCTCCAAATCATTGAGCATATGGTCGGACCCTTTCTGGCAACTTTTTAGGTCAGGCAGCATCACAGTTACAAATCAACGGCCAAGAAACTTTAATTCTGCCACATTTACTCGGTGGAATCTCCCCTTCAACTTCATCTCCATCATCTTCGAGCAGCGTCATGAATTTTGGCTCCCAGTCTTTTCCTTGTGAACCACCTCAGCTTCAAAAATCACCCTCTTCTCCTTCTAATTGGAATGAAACAATCCTTGTTGACCCTTTTCCTTCCGCGGTATAGAACAAAATGAAGAAGATTACAAAATCCGAGGGATTTCCTCACCGGATGATATTTCTTCGGCAGTGGTGCAGGAAGAGACGCCCCTGCATGCTGCTACCAGCATAATTGAAAACGAAGTAAATGACAAGGCTGGCGTGTCCTGTTATGGGCTAAAACCTGAACCAGAAGCAATGCGCTATATGGAATCTTCTTCATCTGCTGCTGATTCATTCTTGGAGTCCATTCTGGCTAGTGACAGAGATGCGCTGGAATTTCCTGAGCTTTTGGATGGATTCTGTGATTACTGACTCTGAAAATTTCCTAAAATGAAGAAGTTACTAGAATAAATGTTGACTTGCAGATGACCAAGGAACTCTGAGATTCCGTGGAATTAGTCGAGCGAGAGGGCAAATGTTTCAAAAGATCGCGCATTTCATGCATACTCCAATCGATCTCTTTTTGTAGTCTTTTCTAATCTCTTGGAATTTCGTGCATTCATTCATCGAAACAAAGGCTGCTACAATTTTCCCACGTAATTAATTCCCTTCCAGTTCCAGACTCGAGAAGCACCTATGGTTCCATCTCCTGATAGGTTTACATCGCAAGCCATATTTTCATGACGTTCGCTTGAAGTAAAATGGAGTATGTAATAAGACCACTTGATTTAATTAATATCACCATAAATCAACGAATTCTCCACCGAGGACTCGATAGATAATTTAAGCATGATGTGGTACCCGAAGCCGAAGGGACTACCTACATACACCGCACATGCATGCGAACGAAACAAAACAAGGCTGCCCTAAGCCTTGCTGCTACTAGTCAATGACAAACTCCAACCGCACTGCCAACCGTAAGATGGAAAGACAAAATAAGCCTTGTGCATAAAACCGTTTTCATAGTTTAAATAGATAGGTTATACAATAGTTGTCGTCTCTGAAAATAAATAAATAAATAAATAAAAACCGTTTTCGTAGTTAGTTAACAAGAAGAATGCCAAAAAAAAAAACATTATCATGATATAATAAGCCCATCTACAGGAGGGAAAAAAGAGAGAGAGAGAGGCACACACACACACAACCAAAGAGAGATATTGTGTGTGGATAAGCCAAAGTCCATTGATAAATCCATGAGTACATTGCAGAGATCATCCTATTCATTTCGCGACAAGGATCATCAGGCCGCATTTGGGACAACAGGCTTGCCGGGCGAGAGATAAAGGTGGGTTGTGAGCCGGAGGCTAATGGGACTGATCATGAAAAGGTTCAACAGAACAGATCCATCCACAACCACATTGATGGTAACTCACGCCCTGCCCTTTTCGCCGATATGACGGCCGCACCCAAAGCAAATAAGGTTCGAAAGTTTCTATTGGTGCCATCTTCGGCTCATGCGCGCGGCCTTCTGGTGCATCCTAGCACTTCTTCTTTTTTTTTTTTTCCTAAATTATGAGTGTTGTCCTAAATGGAATATCTCAGCATTCAATCTTTTTTCTGAATCATTTACAGGAATGATAGGTTGATTACTAACCCCTTATCCTTCTCTGTTATTCGGTGCATGGTTGAATTCTTGCTCGTTGTCAAATGAATCTCCCATCTTATCTGGGTTACCAATCAGCCATATGTTGATTTTTCCCCCTCATTAAGACTTTCTTTTCTGTATTTTCCTCCAAATTAGTCACACCACCACGCTCTTGGTGATGCATGTACACAAAGATGGGGAGTCGGTTTTGCCATGCTGGTTTACTGTCATGTTTTCCGTTCATTCAAGAGCAATTTAGTCGATAAGAAGCATTATAATGTCATAAACAACAATATAGCGCATAGCCGGAGATCAGATTCTTCTTCTGCCTGAATTTTCTTCTAATCTTTTCTCCGATTCACCCGCATTAGGTCATCGCAATTGAAAACAAGAAGCCACCAATTATTTTCCGGTTCTGCAACAAGTTATGCTTGCCTGTAATTAGCTAAACCATCAAATTTTTCTCCACCATTTGATGATCCCTAAAGCTTTATTCAAGACAGGGCGCCAAAAATTCATTTCGTCTTGGCTACATAGCACATAACCAGTAAATGATAGCCTTGAAGCAATTTGGAATATTCTGGATAACAGTACCAATCATGAATCGACAACAGCTTTTACGTTAACCAAAATTTGATGAATTCTTTTCTTATTCACTGCATTCAAATTTATGCTTTATCTGTACACTCAAATCAGTAACCTATTCAAATGATAGCCTTGAGGGCTGTAAAGCTGGCTCAGGGAATGGTTCTTCCCCTCACTAAATTGCAGCTTTGGTTGGCTCTGTTAAGTCAGACGCTCAGTTGGTTGTAATTACTATAACAGATTTTATTTAACCGTATACAACATAATATACGCTCAGGTAAATCATCAGCCTTGTTACCCTGCATCAAGTTTTCACAATTTTAAGAATGTCAGCTATGGACCCAAAGAGCACATTCTGGCTTGCAAAGGATTGTAGAGGCTACCTGAATTGTTAGACCAAAATCAAAAACACACTGCTTCAGTCTGTCATGAAATGCTTCAAAACCCTTTCTTGCAATGTAGCTAAACCTGTGTATGTCCAAATCAATCTCAAAGTAGTTTGCTCCCTGAAACAATTTGCAAAGCCAATTATTCAGTTAGAATACATGGATGACTTGCATTGTACTTTCCTTAGTAGCTGCTCTGCGACTAAAATGTTTTTATTTAGTATGAGCGAAAGCATCAAGACGGAGCAAAAGAGTCAACAGCTTTTTTTTTTTTAACAGCAAGAGGATCACAATTGAAATTTTATAAAATAAATAATTGTTTAACACCTAAAAAGGAGACCATTAGGATAATCTATGTTAAATCTGTAAAGACATGCTAAATGGAACAGTACAGCAGATCCAAATTCTTCTAGGACCAGAATATGAATTGCATTGTCTAGGAAGCAGAACAACAAGATGACTGTATCAAGTGTCATAGAGCTTTTTAAGATAATCCTTACCAAGTAGAATTCATGTTGAGGACGTGAAAGAACAGGCTTTTCATTGTAGGTGATCATGAGCTTCTTTTCAGCCACACCCAAGTTAAGATCTTCCATGTTCACCAGTCGGCCCAAAATCTTCAATCTTTCCCTAAATGGCGCATTTGTGTCCAGAGGAAAGCTTTTGATTTTCTCAACTTCACCATCAATTATCCTCTATACCACCAAAGACCAATTAACAAGAAGATCAGGTTCTTTATTTTTGGTATAACAAATGGAATGATCAGCAAAAACAATCAATTTCTAGACAAAAGGAATCATTAGAACTGCCAAATTGTTGCCATACTCAAAGAAATAAATGGCAAAAACCAGCTGCACGAAGCTAAGTTCATCCAACTTACCCTGATATTTTCTTGGAATTGAACTGGAAGTTCTTCGAGTAATTCTCAGAAATCTTGAAGTAGAAAACCAAATTCATGCCTTCTCCATCACATTCACTTGAAAAATAGTTGCAGGGTACAGTGGTATCTGCGAAAGTTCAAATTAAAAAGGCAGAGAAATGTCAGACTGAGATAATATTCCATGCCAACTCAAAACACTTCTTCCACACAAATAGGAAAAGTAAAACCACAGTTATACAGAATAAGAATGCGTATGTAAATTCCGAGCAGCCAACATTTACTTCAATATTCCAATTTGCAGAGAACTACTTCAACAACCACAAGTACAAAGGAAATACATACCTGAAGATTTACAACAAGAATTGGAGGAACTTCCCCACTGAATCAATTGAAGGAAGTTCCACAAAACGTGCAATATGATCAATTTTCCGTGGAGACAAAAATACATCGACACCAAAAGGATGAAATGCTGCATAGTTTGCAGCGTATTCTTTCTTTTTATCCCTGTGAAAGAATTAGGTCAGGCAGACACATCAACTAACCATAATAGATATACCAGAATAAAGGAGCGAAATCGGTTAAGAAATCCAAAGTTTGTTAGACCTTGCAATCAAAGTTACCATACTTGTGCAAGTTCAGTTATCTGGAATGTTAAATTGTTGAGTCTGAAAATCAAGTGCTCTTACCTCATAAAATTCTGTCCACGAACTCTAAAAGTATTGGGAGCAACCTCTGACCAGCATTCGGAAATTCTTTTCTCAGCTGTGCAATGCGGACCTGAGAACCAGCTAAAGGTCTTTGAACAGTAGCCCTTGGCGACACTGAAATAATAAAGTGGAAATTAGGCTTACTAAGTCAAACAAGACCACTTACAAAGCAACAAAGCATACAGGAGCCGTCGGTGGGAGAGGTGGATATCAGGGCAGAAGTCATCAAGGTGCTTGTAAATACTTAAACACTGGATTGGCCATAGGAAACTACAAGATTTGCTCATCATTTTACAACCTACGAGGATTCTTAGTAAATTTTTTCCTGTAGGGAAATAGACAGTGACAGTGCTAACTCCTGACTAAGGATGAGAAAGTGTTGACAATAATACTTACATAAAGCAGAACTAGCTTGTCCTTCTCGGCGTTTAAATGAAAGCTTAAAAGATGATCTTTTCTTGAAATTTGTTGAATGAGGGGCTAATGACTTTGCCGTCTTCTCTTCTCGGGAGGTAGAACAAACAAGGCAAGGCAGACAGTTATGAGCTTGAGGTCCACAATTGTGCAACTTTGCCGTTTCACTTTTTACAGCACTTCTATCCACGGAATGAGAAGAGACTATATCAAAATGAGCTTGATCCTTTGCCTGCTCCTGATGATCATCAGCTTGCAGCTGAGCATTGTTCATATTCCCTTCTCGAGCAGAATCTTCTTTAGCCGTATTAGCTTCCAAGTTGCTGGATGATGTCCCACTTGGCTTCACTTCAGGGTCAGAGGGATAAGCCACGTTAAAATGCCTGTTGTCAGAATATCTTGGAGTAACAACGTCTGACAAGGATCCACTTTCAATTTGAGACATATCTGCAGCTCAGGGAAGTCATACATAACAGAAATTAGAAATCCAACAGGTTGATTGCTGGAAAACTAGAAATCACACCGTCAAATTGATACTCATTTCCAAAAACGTTCAAGGAAATTACCATCTTGAACACTATAAAAATCATCATCACCATCAGAATCAATCACTGTGTCTGGTTCAAACCAAGCCTCAGATTTTCCTGCAAGCGCAGAAGGACCAAAATAAGCACATGCAAAGTACAACACTCAGAACTTGAGAAGGGACATAGAGAAGGTCAGTTAACAGACAATAAACAGCGAAAAGCGACTGCATATCAGCAAGTCCTTTTTACAATGTAGAAGACCATTATACCCGAATAATGATCAGGAGAACTAAAGATAACCTAAAAGTCCAAAGGGGGGGGGAGATAATGCTATGTGAAGATATATTAAATAGTTGCTCAGCAGAACGCTATGCTTTCAATATCCAGTTCCTCGTCAATCCAGGACAAGATTAGTTAAAGTAGCCCAATGCATAGAAGCAAGGCAGATTAATGTCGATAATCTTGTCTTTCACCAGCCCCAGCTCCAATTCAAAGAAAGAAAAAGACACGCAGCTACTACCGACCATGATTCTGACTTCACACAATGTGAAGGAAAAAAAAGAAAAGAAAAAGGGGAAATAGATTTGGTACCTTGGTATGTGGGATTGCGGTGAGGAAGATCCGTAGAATGAGAAGGTTCAACCTTGCTGAGCTTGTTTGAAAGAGATTGAGTCTTGGTTCTTCTCCTTGGCCTCCCAATCCGACGACCCTTTCTTCTAAGATTCAATCCACCCACTAAACACTTGCAGGGTTTGGATCCGCAAGCTCCCATTCTGTAGTCTGTCCTGAGAGACAACCGATCAACAAAAAATGGAAACCAGGACAATACCCTTCCCACTTCCCACCCCACTATCTATTAAGTAGAAATTATCTCTGACTATATACGTGCTAGATACTTACTACTAGTTCCGGATTTTCTCAATTCCTGTACCAAACGGGTAAAGTTTTTTTTTTTTTTTTTTTTTTTGAAGGAACTGGAGGGTAAAGTTAAACAACAACTCGTTAATTTTGGGGACAAGCCGACAACTTTATAATGATCATCATAGTCCCATAGTTGTCTGATACAAATACACTTGTACCAGTAGGGCCTAATTATTGATTAAGCCAGATTTTTGGTTTTGATTGGTCAACGAATTCGAAGGACATGGATGACTTGGGTAGTTAGCATGGCAATAAGCGTACGCAGCTTCTTCCAGGCTGGCGGAGTAGGCTTTTTTCCTGACATTTTCTCCCTTTTTTTCTGACATTTTCTGACATTTTCAGGCGGAGTAGGCTTCCGGCTCCCATTTTTTGTCACTGCCATTGCCACGTGGATGCAGTTGAAAACGGAATATGGTACACACCACACACTGCACTACACATTGGTTAAGATGTAAAGATCACGCGCAGATGGATTTACGGATATTCGCCCTGGACACGGCAGCCGTCCAATGCGCGTAAAGGTGTCCTCATACTGGTGGAGAGCGTGAGGTGAGGAAAAGAGAAGAGAGTATAGTGGGAACAGGAACTGCGTGACGCGTCGATTGACGGATTGAGTTGTTTTCACTTTCCACGACTGATTTTTTTTTTTTTTTTTCCACGACTGATTGATGTTGAACTCCCTGTTGTGTTTTGCGTTGTTGTGGTCCGTCCTTCCCTTTAGGATTAGGATACGAAGGCTTGAATGGGTTAGGATTCTTTTTTTTGGTAACTCGTAACATGTTTCAATTTGAGTAGCTGGAATACGCCACGACCTCACGCGACGCATCCCAAATGAGTCATGAGGGTTTAAATTCAGGGTAAGATTCAAATTCAGAATCAAATGAGTGTTAAGAGTTCACTTATCACTGAACTACTTTAGTGGAAGCAGGGGCTAGGATTTGCTTGTGCGTGTGATGAACTATGAAAACTCGGCCTTTTTTTTCTCTTTCTAAACATATAATTCAGTCTAATTATTAGAGTTATCCTCGATCTCGAAAACAATTTAATATTATTATGACACACAAAGGAAAAAAAAACTTGATAAAAAGTTTGCGAGCGAGATTGGAATGCTAACTAATTCATTTTGTAACCTCCAAAACTTTCATTGTTGTGTCAATCAGAGATCAATATTGATAATTGCCACTTTTGCATCTAATAATAATGCAAAAGATATTAAAAAAAAATAAAAAGAGGGTTGGTTTGTCGGCATAGCCGTCAGAGTGGTTTGTCTCAAGACCATCATGCTGTGTTTGTGGTGGTTTTGGAGGCGTGGTTCATTGCGTCCTGTCAATTCTAACGCTTTGAGCAGTAATTTTGGAGGCGTGGACAATATTGGAGTATTTAGTTGCAATTTTGCGGGCACAACAGCCAGGTTCAAGCGTTTAATTCTTAAATAAATAAATCCTGGGGGCCACACCACCAAATGTAATAATGGACTGTCCTTATTATTCAATCACAGAGATTAATCAGGAGGGGTCACTATTGTTAAATATTAGTAGTAGTAATTGATTAAAGGCGTTGTTAGGTGTTCGACGATTCCTACGCCTTCAATGACGGTTGAGAAGAGGCGATACCAGGCCCAGGCCCATTATCGTTCGTGGGGCGCCCAAATGATAAGATTAAGAGGCACCAAAATTTCTGGGAAAAACGAGAAACTAAATAAGAAAAGGATAGGATAAAAAAAAAAAAAAAAAATAGGAGTGACTGACAAGTGACTAGTTGACTAGTGACTAATGAGTAGCGAGTAATCCATTCCGGCCAGCGCCAAAATCCTGCGGTTTTAGTACAGCTGACAGCGGTAGTCGCAGATGTAGCAGCGGTGGTGGTGGGCTTGAGAGATGGCGGCCTTAAGTTTTGGTCACCTGGCACAGCAACACCTCCATTCCTCTCTCCTCTCCGCCTCAACATCAATACACCGTGCTTCCATCTTGGTTGCAGTCATTTCCCGTTCACAGCCAGCATGCGCCGCAACTCATGCCTTATCACCCTCTCTTACTCCAACAGTAGCTGCCTTCCTTCGTTTTCCGCACTTGATCCATCTGTTTCTTTCCATTTTTACCTAATTATTGCTGGCTTTTTTTTTTTGACAATTATGTATTGAAAGCTAATAAGTACTATTGAACCTTTGTTTTTCTGGTGTTGTTAGAATCTAAAAGTCGACTCCAAATTGAGAAGGAAAGAGAGTTTCTTGAACAATATGGTCTCAATCCTGACGAGTTTTTACCCCATTCATCTCCACAGGTCCCTTTTTTCTTTTAATTCCACCCCCACCCCCCCAAAAAAAATGTTTTGTACTTGTCCCCATAAGTTTTGTCTCATAACCTTCATAACAGCCCTGTTAAAGTTTCTAGGTTCTGACGTGTGGTTTCCTGGTTTCATAGAGGAAGAGGAGAAAAGGGCAGGCAAAGACGGGAGAAAACGGAAGGCAGGAAATCACAGAGGAACCCAAGCATCCAAGGGAAACCCATAAATTGCTTCAGGTATTTACAATTTTTTATTTGTACGCCGAAGTACTTAATTTGTAGCAAGTATGGCTTGAGCAGATATGGATGTGCAAAGTTGCACTATTGAATATCAGGTAATTGCATTGCTTCGATATCTTAACAAAAGACCAGAACCAGTTCCTGGTTGATGATATTCGTCTACTCATAAAGTTCACAATTCTAACTTTTATTGCGGCTTTTTGTTTCTGTCTCCTGAACATATGCGATACGCAGATTAAGTGTTAGATGCTATGAAGTTCATTTTCTATGTACAATTAACTCCTTACCAAAATGCACTAAATTCTTTGCTCCTATTATTTTTTTTTGTCAAGTAATTTGTAAATGGGAAAATGAATTATTTCCTGGAAAAGGTTAACAAATATGATGCTTATATATGTTATGCTGCATGATAGACAATAATGTCTAGCTTCAATCTTTTGGACCCTGAAAAAAGGTTGTCAATTGACACTTGTTTGAGAAACTACTGAAATGTTTGAGATTTAAATACAAGTGCTTTTTTTATTATTATTATTATTATTTTCTATTTCTTTGGCATGTTATGCCCTTCTCCACCCTTAGAAGAAGTATGGTTCAATTTACAAATCATGTTCTTGAAATTAGGTGCTTAGGCATAGTCATCCGTATTTGAAATCTTATACAAACTTCATTGGTTACTAGGTGCTTGCAGGAAAAGCTCGAAGGAAAAAATTACTTTCACCGAAAGGCATGGATGTACGCCCAATGATGGAAGTGGTGAAGGCTGCTGCATTTGCCATTTTACAGGTGCTTGTTTCATTATCATGGATTCTGTTCAAATTTTGGAATCCTTGTAGTCTTTCAAATCTGTGAATGCTACTGTTGTTAACAGAATAATGTTGTAAACAAATTGTTCTTTCTTCTTCTTCAGGCGGCTGGTGGTAGCCCTGCATCTCTACGGCCTGGTCGTTGGTTAGATTTATACAGTGGTACAGGATCTGTTGGCATTGAAGCTATCAGTAGAGGATGCTCAGGTTATCATTAGAGCCAGTAACACTTAATTTAATTATTAATTTGAAAGCTGACAATTAACTCTATAGCATTACATTATTTTCTTCTCTTTTAGCTGGTAATTAACATCTGCATGAAGATGCAGCATTATGCTGGTACTTTAAGCAGTTAGATTTTAACTTCATATACCATCTTTCAGTTAGATTGTTTTACAGTGTGTTCCGCAACCTATTGCTATTTCCTGTCCTCTTCACTCTTCCCTTTATTCTCTTTTCTTAATTTGCAAATCCCAGGCCCATTTTGTTGAGATGGATCCTTGGGTTGTCTCAGATGTTCTACGACCAAATTTACAGTGGACTGGTTTCCTTGATGTATCAACCATACATCCTGTCCGTGTGGAGGATTTCTTGGAAAGGGCAGAACAATTTGCTGGTATGCTGTTTTCTGGATTCACAGAATTGAAAATCTAGTTGTCATGCTGATTGAACTTTTTTCTCTATACTACCTTCCAGATCTTATCCTTTTTAAATTATTAATTTGGCCTTCTGCATATCGTATAGAATAGAGTTCATGCTTTTGGACTCCTTTAAATAAGATCTTTATCTTGTATATGCGCATATATTAGAAGCCGTAGCAATGAAGGTTCGTTTGATGTACACCTAAAAGACATGTTTGTATATGTAGTCAGGAGCTTTGAGTCTCTCAATTACGGTCAGCTTCATCAAACCTCATTTTTCCTGTTTTTCTTTACATGAGAAGATTATTATTACCTTCTGGAACTTTACGATTAGATTTTTTTTCCCAGGTAAACGTGCGCCATTTGATTATGTAAGTGTTACACCCCCATATATGGCAGTAGATTATGGGGTATTGATGAACCAAATTTCAAGTTCATCCGTAATTGGAGAGGACACATTTATTGTAAGTTAATTGCATATAAAAAGTAAGTTTTGTCCCTCAGTGGTTTGATTGATTAATATCTAACAAAATGCTTATTCTTTTGTAGGTAGTTGAATACCCTTTGAAAACTGACATGCTTGATTCATGTGGTTGCCTCACTAAGGTATTTTAGATAAGCTTTGGTTGATTAATTTTTCCTGATTAATAAGAACCATCTCACCTAAAAACTCAACTAATCTGAGATGAGGCTATTCTAATGATTTATAAACTCCTATACTCTCCCTTACGCCTGCCTGCACTAGTCTCTTTTTAGTCAGCTGAACACCTAAAAATACTTATCATGTATCGGCTAGAACCTTTGCATGCTACTTCACCCTATGCTTTTTTCCTTCTAAATTGCCTCATCTGTATGTTGGCTACTATGTTAATTAATAACGGGTTTACCTTAAACGATCACAAATTGCAGATAGCTGATCGGAGGTTTGGTCGGACACATCTTGCTATATATGGACCAAATTGGGCGCAAAAGAGGAGAAAGTCAGACAGCTTACTTATGGGTTTATCATAAAGATGGAAGTAGGTTTTGTGGCTGGATTATTATTATTTTGTGCTAAAGACCACGTAGTCTGATATTTCTTAGCAGTGACATGTCGCGTTAGCTGTAAATTAACCTGACCATTTGATTTGTTCCATCTCAACTCTCCTTTCAGATGTAGATAAAACAAGAGATGTTAATGAAATGCTACTAGTAAACTAAACTTGGTAATCTTTGTAGTTCAGCCTTCTTCTATAATCAAAATCTCTAACGTCAATTCAGACAAGAACTTGGATATTTTCTATGGTGATTTGACAACTGTTATTTCAGTTCAATGATATGATACAAGTTTACAGGAAGTTGTTGTCGATCTAAATTTGTTGGGTTATGGTCTGTTGGATATTATGCTGTTTGCTTAATGTCGCCATTCTGTCCGGGTACATGACAGAGTCATTAGAAAACTTCTTCTTCTAACCTAATTTTTAGTTGGCCGGAGTTGGAGGGTTAGATAAAGTGAATATTCGCATCACAGGAGACAAAAGAAAGGCGGCCTTAGCGTTTATTAACTAATGATGATCCGGTAGACCCTTTCATGCACTGCTGAGATTTTGTAGGCAATTCCTTGGATGAACTTCAAAAACTTGAGGTGGCATGTTTTTTGAAAACGGAGTTTGGACCATTCTTTCTGATACCTTGAGTTACATTGGAGAAATCCTTTCTTTATGTTATTCCAAGATGATAAAGATAAAAAGTTCCAAGTCTCTGCGTGAATCATGAAAGAACTAGCCAACAACCAAATTGTGAAATTTCATACTACCGAGCAGCTTTAGACTGTCGTTTGTGTTTTACGATCGTAGATTCTTATAATTCAATGGCAATATGTTGTCTTTAAGCTTAAAGCAGAGCAACTTTAGACTTTGTGTCATTTGTGCTTTACGCTCGTAGATTCTTGTCGTAATTCAGTGGCAATATAAAGCACATGGTGCAATCAAAATAATCATTGCCATCTTCTTCTCGGTATCAATTCTTTCCAGATTCCTGATGGGCTCTCAACTCCCATTTCTCCTTTCCAGTTCAGGCCTGATACATTTATACGTCTATTTTATGCAATGAACTCTTTTAAGCACGATGGTCCGCAAAACTGCGATATTCACATTAATTCTAGAAATCAGGCACGAGATTCTATATCTTTTTTTTTGGCTTCCATGCATCATTTTCTTGGTTCTTTTAAAATTCAGGACTATGTAAGCATTAAGGGGAGTAGGGAGGTAGTGAGGTCCCATTTGGCTGCTGCATGAAAATGTGCGCACCAAAGTAAAGATTTCCGAGGTGGACCAATACATTTAAAGCAAATCGATGCAGCAAACCTTTGGATATTGCAACAAGCTACAGAAGTGTTTTCCTGCTGGAATTTCAATGGTATTTAACATAAAATTCACTAGCCGAAAAAGATATGTAGCACATAATCTAAAGTTCAGTACCGTATATTCTTTTGTTTTGTTACGGCTTTATGTTTGGAGAGACCTGTCTTAAGACAAAAGTTTCCTCACATTTTTACTTAGAGGTTCGTGTATATATATATTTATACTCGCATTGCCTTGCTCTGCTCCACTCGGACCACCCCAACCTATTTTCATCCTTTCTGGTGCTCGAGTTTGTCTTATAGCTCCGACTAGAAATCCTTTGTCATAAAATCGACATGGTTGGATTCCTTCTTTCTGGTAACAAACTATCTGGCAGGGTACAGATTGTATAGGATTGAAAAGTTATAAAAATGCGTGGCAGTGGTAGGGCTTTGCGGGCTACAGCTGGAGCTGTTGTGTTTGCTGCTGTCTTACTCTTATGGTTCTTGTTATTTAGCATAGTAGCCAACAATGCCTCTGATAAGGCAGCAACAAGAATTTCATCCACCAGAAACCTTAGCATTTTAACGCTGATAGCAAGTAGAAGCCGTTATCTTCCTCGACGTCCTCCCAAGTACATTTCTGTGAGCAAGAGAAGAGTGCCTGCCGGACCTGATCCCATCCATAACAGGTATCAAATTCTATATGCAGCTCTTAACTAACATAATATGCAGCTCTTAATTCCCTTGTCAACCTCTTTATTGGCTGTGCAACAACGTTATAGAGTTTGTTGACTGACTCAAGTGTTGGAAACCTTCTGAAACCTCGAACAAGTGTGATTGTATGGTTGTCTAATCACTTTCAATATGATCGTGAAATGATTTGAGGCCGATCCTTTAAGTTTATGTTCAACTCCTCCATGCAAAATTATACGAGGTGGTCTCGGTTACTCTTTGTCTATCTGATCTTTTATGTTCCGTCTCTTTAGGAGAGCCAGAAGTTCCCGACTACCACCTAGTTGAGCAAAAACGTCAAAAAGTTTAAGAAGATTCAGAAATCCCTTTGGCTTAGTCGTGGAAGAAAATGCTTTTCCGCGACACTGCGTTCCATCTTTGCTGTTGATTTAGGATATTTTCAAATTGAAGTTTGACTTGTTGGGCAGCCTAAACTCACATCATTGTTGTATGATGTATAATACTGAGAATTGGAAAGAAGTGGATGAAGGCATGCTGAAGTTTCGCTGCTATCATATATGAGCAAAAATTTCTTGGGAATGCTGTTTGAGAATATTTTTTGTTTTAGAGCATCCTAATCAGTGTGTGTATTCACACAAGCTTCTCCAGCACATGGTACTTTTAAACTAGATGGATTGTGAAAGACCTCTGAAGGGTATTCTCATGCCTCAACTTCAGGAAGGATTGACAGATTCTCATCCGCAAAAAACATTGCAGGAGAAATGAAGCATATTTCAAGAAAGGTGTCATAGGACAATGTGTTTGTGTAGGCATGCATCATGCATGGATTGAAGGGTGATTTGTCTTTTGCTTTTCGATTGGATTGGCTTTCTTTTGTTTTTAAGTGGCTCGTGTTCCCCAAATAAAGCATTTGCGCCCTGCTCGGGTTAAAGCTCTAAAAAGTGCTCTTTCTGGATAAACAAAAAAATTTCTTTTTTTTTGGCCGTAATCGTGTGATATGATGGTTCCTAGATTATTAGCCAATTAATGCACCATTTCCGTCTGTTGTACATAAAAGCTTTTTTAGGTGAAGCATAGTGTAAATTTGTTGATGAGTGCTGAGAGATTTGTCCAGTGGGGAATGAGGTTAAAAAAAAGAGGGTTACGTATATGGTGAAACATGTTATAGCTCCTCCATTGGATTTTCTTGATAACAACTTTATTAACGGACGCTATTTTATTTACCAGAGTCTCTCTCGACAGTGAAAACAAAGCAACTCCCTGCCCTTCTCTTTCTCCCTTTTTTTTGCTTTCTTCATCTTTCTTTGCTTCTTTTCGGTTCTTGATTTTGATTGTTTCAAGAAGTAAAGACCGGTCTAAAGTGACTGAGATTCAAATTAGGACGCCTTTTTGTTGGCTCATGCTCGTGCGTTTGATTGAGAGACAGAATCCTATTTCCTGCCTTCTCTACAAACACTAACTTGCTGCCATTGAACAATCAGTCTCTTCCGAAATCAAAGGGCACCAGTAGTTAACTTGCAAATTGAATATATATATATATATATATATTTTTTTTTATTTTTTTTTTGATAGAAAAGATCATCTCATTCAAACAAATCTGCGCTAAGTACCTACTAGTATTAGAGCAAATCTTGGCTAACAGTTGGAGTTAATTACTCCTACATACAATAGGCGGTTTCTAATTTAGGAGCAAGATTTGTTCCTCGAATGGTTTTTGTACAGTTGTTCTGTCATATGACTGGCGAAGAACTTCTGCAGACTTAATATTTAAGTTCAAGTCCCGGTCTCCCGTTAGATCATCGAATTGATTTTTGTATAATTACAAAAGAAGAAAAAAAATCTGTCTTTTTTTTTATTTTAATTTTATCTCCAGTTCCAAAAAAAAATTATTATTCTCAGTCTCGAAGCAGACACTAAATAAACCTAAAGTAAACCATCTACACCAAATATTACTGAACTTCCAATTTTACCGGATCAAGTGGTCAAATGAATTCTTTAAACAGAAACCTAACGCTGAAAAAGTTTTGGTATCAAGTCTTTTAACTTTTTTTTTGAGTAAATCTTATATACACTGACAGTATATACACTATCACCGTTAGATTTATAACATGTGTGTAAAAGTTAAATTTCAAATTCAAATTTCGCATAGTTATTGTTCATACGACGCTGACGGTGTACACACTATCAATATATAAAAGATTAATCCTTTTTTTTATGATTTATGATTCGTTGTGAATTGTGATGCCTCTTTTTTGCGCAAAGTTTTTGGAGACGCTCGCTGATTTCTCCACCAACTCGGCTAAGATGTAGTGCAAAACCGGAACACACACAAGCAAAGCATGCTCTCGAGTACATACCAAAAAGATGGTAAAGGCCCCAAAGACAAAGAGCAAAGGGCCACTTTCCTCGTGGGCTCGTTGCCACGAACAATTGCATAAAGGTCAAAGAGACTCGCAAATGCTGCCAAAAGTAACCGCAATCCTGCTTTTGATGTAATACTAGTAACTGTTTTCCTACGCCTTTAGGGCTCTAGCCTCTAAGGCTGGCTGGCCTCCCGCAATCATCGAATGTCCCAATACTTTTATAACTACACTGGTGCAGAAATGGCGCTTTTAGCTGTGCTGCCCCGCCATTGGTTTCCCGGCCTAGCTATTACGAGCATTGAAGCGAGTTTTTTGAACTATCAAACAAGCATTTTTTAAATAAAATAAAATAAGGTTGTGTTTGGATTGCATTTTCCGTCATTTTTCATGGAAAAATTACTGTAGCGATTTGATACATGTGAGGGAAAAAGGTGATAGGAAAATGTGATCACGAAAAACGACAATATTTTCCGACGGAAACAAGCAATCCAAGCATGGCCTAAAATTTCGTTTCAGTTGGCAATATTACTCGCCATGGCCGCTACCGAATCTTTGACATACTGCCTGGGAAAAGTTAGAACCTCGATCCTTGATTAAACCAATACCCTCCATAATTAAATAAAAGAATCGAATTCATGAATTTTGACTATCATGCTTTGCTAGAAATTTTCTGTGTTCACCATCAAGGCTACAAGGCTCTACTAAAATTTCTGGGCTCACTATCAAGGTCAGAAGGTTCTACTATCATAGTATCCATTTTGCCCGCTACCCAAAAACTTTTTAAGGCCCTGCATTTGGGATGTGCAAACATCAAGAAAAGTTGCAGAACATGTTAACATAATTGACATTTTTGTATCTTGACAGCCGGCTAGAGTCTGAGTTACTAATGGAAATGATCCAAAAATCCAACAAAATGCAGCAAATCCAGGATAGTCCTTTTGCCAGCCTAGTGGTAGGGCAATTCCCACCTCGCAGATAGAAAAGGATACGGAAACTAAGAGAACTGGAAATCTGCCATGAAACTTAATCAGAACGATGAACTGGCAAACTTACAAAAGTTGTGGTCTCTTCGCAGTTTATACGTCAGATTTAACAGGTACATGATTGGAACTAAGCAACATACCAGATTTAACAGTCTTTCAACCTCTCATTACCTAAACCCATGAATATAATGTACAAAAAACTCAAACAGGCAAAAGAGTAAAAGCTACAACCCAGCATAGAAGGATAATACTATTGCTACAAACAAAGATTATAAATACCACAGAAGGACATACATCCACATTCACAAATCTAATGAACGAGAGAATTACCAAGGCTGTATGAAATCAAGTACAGCAACACAGGCCTGAAAATCTTATACAATTACTGCACAACATGAACGCAGCATGATACAGAGCTTAAAATAGGCCAATCATACTAAAGATTGATCATATTTCTGCAGCACAGATAATTTTCCGCAGCCGGAAGAACAACAGTCATGTGATTTAAGTTGATAGGCATCAAAACATATTGCATTGAACTCTTAGTGTTTCTTATTCCTATCATAAGCACAAGGGTTATATCTTATGAGCACTTATCAACCAAAAAAAACCAATCACGGTCACCATCACCAAACAATATATTCCAAGCACAATTTCTCAGATTGAACTCCAACCATCATGCTATGTTTGCAGCAAATTGAGCATAAGGATATTTCAGATTAAAAGTTGCAGAAGAATTAAGAAAGCAAACCATAACAAGCAACAAAATTAATCAAGCAACTGCAAGCCAACTCCTGCCAGAGTACACACACTAAAATGGCAGTGAACCATCTAAACAGCATGAACTAGTAGCTGCCAGATTAAGAGACTACCAATTGGCAGTACCCCGTTTGTGCCTGGAGCAAGAAAGGACGCTTCACCATGTAATAAAGAGTCAATATTACTTGAAAACTTAAAAGCTGGGAATTCGGTTGACAGTCATGCAACTATGTCCAAGTTTCATTAGTAATCTACAATGTAAAGTTCAGGGCTATAGGTAAATGAGCATATTACAATCATCAAGAACCAGTAGTTTCCCATACAACAGATTTTTGGACGAAGAGGATCTTGTGGTACAGTTTAAGCAGTTTATCCTATTATACAGCTATATTTGACAACAGGGAACATACTCTGGAAGCCAATAAAAATGGATACCACTCAATTTGTGTTGCAAGCACAGGTGAATTTACCCTCGAATGCAAAAATTAGTTTTTGCAATGCAAGTGCCAATCTTCCTTTGCTTCTAAGACTTTCTTTTGACAGTAAAAATGGAACTAATCAGCATCATTTTTTCCAAAAAGTAGAGGAAATTCATCGTATTGTTCTGAAAATCCTTGTTTCTCAGCCATGCTCTTCAATGATTCATAAACCTGGTACATGAGCACCTGTCCTTTGGCCGAGAAACCACACAATTGCATGCAATTCTCAAAAACTGCACAATTTCTTCATCATGGCCTTTCCCACGTAAAGTTCCATCAATTGCATCTTTAATCTGCCCTGAACTGGAGAGTTGATTAACCCAGTCCACCAAGTTCCCCTTGAATCCTTCCTCGGCACAACCAACTTCAAGAGGTTTCTGCCCAGTTGCCAATTCCATAAGTACCACTCCAAAACTATAAGCATCCCCTTTCAGAGACGCAACCAATGTGCTGGAGTACTCTGGTGCTACATACCCAAATTCACCTAGATCTCCATTGACAAAACTACTTTCATTTGAATCTGATGAAGTCATGAGCCTTGCCAAGCCAAAATCCATTATCCTAGCATCAAAATCCTCGTCAAGTAGAATAACATTGGAGCTAATGTTTTGATGCATTATTGGGGGTGGCAACCATGGTGAAGCCAGGCAATCCCCCTTGCAGCACCTAAACCAATCCTGAACCTAGTCGGCCAATCCAAAATAGTTGCGTTTCCACTCAATAATGAATACAAAGTCCCATTTGACAAGTGCTTATAGACTAAAAGCTTCTCCTCCTCTACCACACAGAACCCCAAGAGTGGGACCAAATTTGGATGCCTGAGCTGGCCTAACCTATTCATCTCCATCCGGAACTGCTTCTCACCCATCTTACACGTACTAAGCCTCTTGATGGCAAGTGCAGACCCATCCCTTAAAACAGCCTTATAAGTTGTTCCGGTCCTAGTCGAGTAAATGACATTTTCCGCACTGAAATTATTCGTAGCAACAAATAAATCTGCCAGCTTAACCTTCACGAGTGGTTTTTGGAACAACATAACTTGAGTTAGCTTATGAGCCCTCAACCTCTCAGCCCAACTATCGGAGTCATCCCTTCCAATTCCATATCCTCCCTTCCTTCTCCTCGGCCAGACTTTGTGAAATACCACCACCATGCCCCAAAACCCAACAACATAGATGCAGCAGCTCCAAACACACCAGCCGCAATAATAATTGCCAAATTTTTCTTACTCAACCCGCCACATTTCCTTAAGGCCCACCGCAAAGACCGCTGTTTCCATCAAAATTAAGCTCCACACCAACAGCTGTAAAAGAGGGAACCCTACCGGACAAACCATTATTGGCAACAGAAAATTTCTTGAGCCTACCCAAAGTGGAAAACTGATAAGGAATGTTTCCGGACAACTTATTATCATCGAGCACCAAACTATTCAAATAAGAGCATTTAACAAGATCCTCCGGAATCGTACCGGTCAAAGCATTGCCAGATAAGTCTACAGTAACTAAATAAGGCAACCAATCACAAATTTGGGGCGGGATAGGACCGGAAAGGTCATTACCGGAGAGATCGAGAGTTTGCAAGCTGT